CCGTGGGAACGCAACGAAATTACAAAACCAACGACTGATTCGATGATATAAAACATCAATCTAAGAATTTTATTCTTGTTTTATACTATAACTTCTGTTTTATATAATCTGATTTATTGTATTTTTACGCCAAGTGTTTTATATAATTAATAGTATTGTATCCAATTTTACTAGTACTGCAGGTCAGTGGTGTATATCAACCGTGTATCTGCCTGATGATGGCTATTGATAGCTGAAACTACGCACTGATCTTGATATTTGTTGTGTTGTGACGGTTGTAATATGATTATGGTCTATTTCCTCAGTACTGGCCTGGAGGAACTAAGAAGGACCTGACACTCCTAATTAGGATCACTCGTAACTCGTCTGAGATTTAAAAGGACACCTATCGAAAACAAGTCTACAGCTTTGCGGATAGACCACTCTGTCCCTCCTGCCTCGGGTGTGTGCATATTTTCACGACCAGTAAGCAAAGAAATCGCTGTCTTTAATCTGCCGGTCTGTTGTATACATCATGACCTTACCCACATGTATAATTCGCATGGACAAATGTTTCAAGAACAAGAAAAACACATTTTAAGCAGCTGATGTGCATCTTACGTCTGGAATCACCTCAGCATATATTTATCTTTCGCATAATCAGCCCACAGAAGTATTTTTAGCGACAAAAAGAAATGTCTGAACTCTTTGACCAGATACCCCCTTGTCTTCAGAATGACTTACGTAAGCACAAGGCTCAGAGTTGCATGAACTGAAGCAGAAGACTGCACAAAGTTCATTATTTAACAGACGTCGTCAAACTGTGGCTAGCAAGCCACATGCATCTCTTCTGAGCATTTTTTAATGCTAGGGGGTGGGACTAAGTCCCTTGTACTGCGGCCACGTCTGGCCTATTGTACCAGCCCCAGATGATAGGCGAGGGTGATTGTGGAGCAATTGGTGGAATGAAGATTGGCAGGGGAAACCGAAGTACTCGGAGAAAACCCGCCCCAGCGCCACTTTGTCCGCCATAAATCCCACTTGAGTAGACCCAGGATCGAACCAGGGCCACCTCAGTGGGAAGCCAGCGACTAACCGCTTGAGCTAGCAGTTAGTGCGGATCGCGGAAGAAATATTATTTAATCCATTTGTCTGCAATCGGATTAAACAGAAAAGAAATCTCTGCGTGAGAAACTGTATCTAAACAGCCGTGCCATTCAACTGACGTCTAATTGCTGATCCTGAATTTCTGATACGTGGCTCTGATGTTCAATAACTTGGCCACCCCTCTTGTACAACATAAACCAGTTCATATGTACAGAAAATAGAATAGAAACGAGATCCAGACACTGCAAATTAATTTATATCGTTTGATGTTAAATGATAAATTTATGCCAGGGATGGACAAGCTAAGTTGGAGAGCAAATAAAATCATTGGCTAGATTTTAATCAGTTTTCTATTACGTCAGTATCCATTCATATATTTAAGTGTTTCATATTCTACGTGTTTTGTCCATTATAATCACATTAAAATGCGCAAAGAACATGTACTTTATTTAGTAGGTAGGTACTGTTACTCTTAAAAGGATCGATGAATAGACTTCAGTACAACTCAAACACACAGCTTCGCAACCACTCATTTAGGTCTAGAAAATATATGGTTTTTCTTTCTAATTCGATATAAACATAAATTGAATGCATACTGAAAATTATGTGCAGATCACAGCATGTTACTGATTTATCCTAAGAAACTTCGATGAAATCCAATAATCCATTATGACCTTTTGAGACAGCATTGTAGCATGCCAAATATTTGTTCTAGAACTAAGTGTACTTCCTTGGGAATCGTAAAGTAGCAACTAAGAGGTCAACCTACTCTCTGCATAAACTGTACTTGTGAATGTATGAGGCAGTCGGTACTTCAGTGTCACTGTCTTTTATCATCTTGCATGTCGAGAACGCATCTCTTAGAAAAAGTTAAGTGCAGAGGTATAAGGACTGCTTGACATCCGGAGGTATTCGTCAGGCGGAGAAGTTTTCGTTGTTTCATTCAGTTCCACCACACGAAACTGGGGAACTTCGTAAGTCCAGAATTTCTCAAGACACACGACATTACGTAATATTTGTAGCTAACAGGCCTCCAATTGCAATAAAGCCATCAATGTTCGTTACGGAATTATTTCGTGTTAGGAAGACATAATTTAAAACATCGCTCAGGTACTTTCTCCTAACAGCAACTGTATCATTTTTAATAACCACTTCCTCCATACAATTCCAAGGGCCAGAATGCCAGGAGATGTATCACAAATTGCTTATTCACCTTCACAACACAGTTTTTGGGTAAGAGATAATTTTGTACTACTTCAGGTTGCTTTAATATCAGGACCATCCCCGTATGTTCATACTAAAGAGCTGGACTAGGACAACAGATTATAACTGACAAGTAAAACAAACTACTCTTCTTCTACCACCATACTTTTATTTTTCTCTCGGCGCTACAGCCCGAATTTTGCCCTTGGCCTTCCTCCATGAAACTCTCCGTTTCACTTCGGTTTACTAGATTTTAGACATTTGGTAGGACTCCTTGGGCGGGTGATCAGCCCATCGCAAGGCCTCTACTTACATACAAACACAGAAAAGCACACACACACAAACAGTAAACATCCATGCCCTGAGTGGAATTCGAACCCACGATTCTGGTTTCCGAGCGAGTGAAGACAGTGCATGTCTTAGATCGCTCGGCTACCGTGACCTGCACCACCATAATTAGTACACAAAAAATAATGTTAAAGATCTGTCTTCTTACTGCAGGTGACAGTGAATCCGTCAACCACTATCCCGGGTTGGTGGTGAACCAGATGTATGACATCATGAATGGTGAGTAGAGCCGGATGTAACCAAGACTCGTGTATAATGGATCTGATCTTGAGCAATTCTATTAGAATTTCACATCAGCACACCTAAAACCAGTCTGGGCAGTGAAGTCTGTTGTTGCAGTAACTTAATATGTATAGCTTAAGTAGGATTTGAGGTTCTCACAAGGTGGCTATGAAAAGTGCTATTTTATTAGATATAACGCCGTGAATTCCGGTATAAACTCAGATGTTTCGTAACAACATACTACCTCCATATTCAGGATCGAAGATTAAGCCAAGCAAATAGACAAAGAGAAACAATAGTCAAGTATAGGGCTTTCAGACAGAGTGTTTGCTGCTTACTTCGTTATCTCTTCGAATATCGAGGTGAAGGCAGCATGTTTCTCTGGAAAAGCTGGCAAACTGACTATAAAGCGTCACATCTCAGAAGGCAGCACTGTTCACAGTCACATCCGTGATAACCTCAAATCATAAAACTGCTCATTTTCACAATATCGTACGTTTTCGATCCAGCGAAAATTTCTTCCCCTTTAGCGCATTCAATGAAAATGATTTGCACGGCCGTTACAACATACCATTTCACAAATAAACATTTCGTTTTATACCGTCAATAATACCAACACTGCGACTGCCAGAAATCTGTGTTTAGCCTTCGGTGGTGACTAACTAATAAACTATGCGAGTTTTTGTATGGTAATAAGCAGAAAATATATGTAAAAATAGTTTCATAACTTAAAGGCTGCGCCAAAGCTCAAGCCGTTAGTCGCTGGCTTCCCACCGCAGCGCCCCGGGTTCGATCGTGGATCTGGTAAAGTGGGATTTGTGGTGCACAAAGTGGCGCTGGGGCGGGTTTTCTCCGAGTACTTCGGTTGCCTCTGCCAAACTTCATTCCACCAAATTCTCCATCATCATAATTACCCGGGGTAGGCTACAATAGGACAATCAGTGGCCGCCGTGCCGAGTGGATCCAGTTGGACTCCACCCCCCACTAACCGAATTCATAAGTTAACAATTACAGACACGGAACAAGACTTTGGAATTATAGACCTATCTAACAGAAACAATATAATAAAAAGCAATATACTCGATATTATTCACAGATATTTATTACTAAATTTTAAAATTATTAATTTACAGTTCCTCCTAGTGTCACTTTATAGACTGAAACTTTTGAACAAATTAGACATCCCAAGCCTTTCCCTGAAGTCCGTCTTTATCCAGTTGTATTCATTTAAAATTTAAAAGTAAGTACATCATGATTCTGAAACTTATGGTAGTTAAAACTTCAGAAGTTATTTTTTTTTTTGAAAATTTTAAGGATTTGCAAATTGTTTAAAATATAATATTTTAATACCAAAATTCAAAAGTCGTATTAAAGTTACCATAAGTGGTACTTGTGTAATTTCTTTGCTCCAGCAGTGTATGTTTTTAAAGGGAGAGTTGCGAAACTTTAGAACCTAATTTCCTCCAACGGATACAACTCCTTCGGGAGAGAAGAAGCCGCATAAAATTCGTTGGACATGCAGAAAGAAAATAACACTAACTTAGCTAAATCAAATGCATTTCTCTGCAATAAGCCGTGAGAATGAACAAACCAGGCAATAGTAGAGAGAAAATTTATGTGAATGGAAGTGCGTTCAAACGTAAAGCAGTGGACAAAAGTGGATACACTTCGGCGCACACGAAACTTTTAAGAGACAACGGTAAGATTAGTCTACGTGCCTGGTTATTATATCACGTGGACATATAGTAGTGGAGATAAAGCTCCAAGTATTCTTTATCTCGGCAATAGATGGAAGCGAATGGTCAGCGTAACAAACCGATCGTTTTATCCCTGTTTCCTCAAGTAAAGAACCGTGATACAACGGCATAACAAGATGAGTATGGCTCTGGTAGCAAGCAAATCCCTTCCGCTCTGGGAAGTCCTTGCCATCACTTTGCCTGAGCTATCCCGGTTCTTCTCTTTATAAAATGTGTGCAGAAAATGTTAAACGTATTTTTATTTGAATATCTTAAAAACCTTTCAACTAAATACGAGTAATTATTATTGTAGTCACTGAAATATTTTCCAAATTTCAAGTTGGTTCTTACATCAACTACTCTGCATCATCTGAAGAGGTTACTTAGCGCCGAATCGAACGACAGTGTATGTTGAACTTAAAATATTGGAGGAAGAAGAAGAAGAAGAAGAAGAAGGAGGAGAAGAAAAAGAAGAAGAAATCGTGGACTACTTTATGAAGCTACTCTGTCACAAATCTAGCATTACTGACGAAAAGAAAAAATAAAAGTACCTACCTACCACTCGACGCTACAGCTCTGTGCGAGCCCTGGCCTCCTCTACAGCCAGTCTCCACTGCTCTCTTATTAAAACGAAAAGTAACGGCCGAATTTTCGGCGCTGCGCACGATATTCGCTCATACTGAGAACAATTCAGACGAATGACTCTGTACGTATCTTCTTGGTCTGACATAGTTATAAAAATCGAGTTGATCTTAAACTCTTGTTAGACAAGTTAGCATTGCACCCTTGTTTGTGTGAGTTATTGATAACACTTCAGTAGTGAGGTTAGTCGTATATATTGTCGAATTGATGGATTATAAACCAATATTGATTTCGAAAAGGTTTCGAAGGAATCAGTCATGGCTTCATCAGAATCTATCCAGATATTTTCCTGAAGAACTGATGAAAACAACGAACAACCATGGTCGGGAGAGCTAATTGCTCGGCCGAGAACCGAACCAAGCACCTGTTGCATATGAGTTCAGAACGTTACTGCTATGTCAACCCGCTCGTTCATAAAGGAAATACGAGTATGCTTCAACTACAGAAGTGACTAACCGTACAATGCGAGTTATGCTTCAGACAAAGCTGTATACTTCAGCACCTAACGACTCTTCACTTAAAACGTAAAGGTGAAGCTGTCCCAGTGCTTAACTAATAAAGCACTACGCCATGAAAACGTATGGGAGAGTGGATGTATAGATCCACATTTTCTTGAACTCAGCACTATGTGGAGGTGAGTGATCAGCTTCAAGCCCCGGCCGCTTTACCCCAGGAAAAGAGCCCCTGGTACCCAACGGAAAAAAGGCTGGGTGGGCCCCAGAGCCAGTCTGGACAACGTAGAGAAGAGAAAATTCTTGAAACTACAGGAACTCGAACTCCCACACCTCGGCCGTCCAGCCCGTAGCCAGTCGTTATATCTACTGCGCTATCCCAGTTCCCTACGGACTATTCACTTAAGCATTTTAACTCAAAACACTATCTGGCTATCGCTATCTATGGCTCTACAGTCGCTTTTTGAGCTTCTTGATCATATACACAGTCGGTAGGACTCCTTGAACGGGCGATCAGCCCATCGCAAGGCCGCTACCTACGCCCTGAACAACACAAACACAGGATAAACGCAGACATCCATGTCTTGAGTGGGATTCGAATTCACGATCCCAGCGTTTGCGAGAGCGAAGATTGTTCATGTCTTAGACTATGCGGCCACTGTGATCGTCATTCAAAACACTGATTTCCAGAATAACGTTGAAAGGTTAAAGAATGTAAGAGACAATTAGATCCTAAAGGGTTCTGACGAAGGTAACACTCAGAATTACTGGGTTTTCGGGCTTTATTATTATTTTGATTGCTACTGGGGCGGGACTAAGTCCTTTGTACTGCGGCCACTTCTGGCCTATTGTATCAGCCCCAGATGATAGGTGAGGATGATTGTGGAGCAATTGGTGGAATGAAGATTGGCAGGGAAACCGAAGTACTCGGAGAAAACCCGTCCCAGCCACATTTTGTCCACCACAAATCCCACTTGACCAGACTCCGGGATCGAACCCGGGCCGTCGCGGTGGGAAGCCAGCGACTAACAGCTTGAGCTATGGCTCGGCTCCTTGGGTTTTCGGGCTTTGTCTATCGTCCGGTATTCTAGAGACTAGAAAATAACTTTTTCGGAAACTAGATCTGTTTCAGTCCTCAGGTGAAGGGGCAGATGCCTACTCTGTTGTGTCCCCAGTGATTGATGTTAGCTCTTTCTAAGGGACCCAACACAGTAGGTGTCTTCCCTCCACCTGAGGACAGAAAGAGATCCAGTTTCCGGAACGTTGTGTTTTCTAGTTTTTAGAACACCGGACGGTGGACAAAGTCAGAAAACCCAATAATTCTAAGAAACAGGCGTTTGAAATAATTATCTAGAGTCATGCATATATGCAACTCATGACGCTTGCTCGTGTAGCTTATTATGATTTAATTTACTTCTCCAGTGCATTTACAAGTCGTAATAATACAATAACGAAGAGACTAACTCACTAATTATATTAGGCCTGTTATATACGAAGCACGTATCAGTTTTTGCTGCCTTGCTCATTCTTAATAAGCTGGTGACATAGACATATGAAGTCTAGTTTTCTAAGAATTCCCTAGCGACATCCTGGGATACATAATATTGAAAACTTGCGAAGATTTATGTAGTTGTTAACTGCTAAACCCAGAGCTTTTGTTTCGGTAATTATTTGGATTATTGTGGTCTTTCCAATATCTCATAACGCTATCAAAGTGTTTATTTCTTTTTCGCTGGCTCTACAGTCCCTTGGGCTTTGGCCTCCGAATTTTCAGTTTCATGATCAATTTACAGACGGTAGGACTACTTGGACGAGTGATCAGCTGATCGCAAGGCCTCTACCTAAACATAGGACAACACAAACACAGAGCAAATACATATACCAAGGCTGCGCCATAGCTCAAGCAGCTAGTCGCTGGCTTCTCACCGCGGCGGCCCGGGTTCGATCCCGGGGTCTGGTCAAGTGGTGGACTAAGTGGCGATGGGGCGGGTTTTCTCCGAGTACTTCGGTTTCCCCTGCCAATCTTCATTCCACCAAATTCTCCATCATCATAATCACCCGGGGCAGGTACAATAGGCCAGCTGGACTCCACCCCCCACTAAGTGATTCTAAAAAAATCATTTTAATAGATATACCAAAACATCATGCCTTGTATGGGGTTAGAAACCACGATCCCGGCTTCCGAGCGAGCGAAGACGGTACATCCCTTAGGCCGCTCGGATACCATGACCGGCATCAACGTGTACACAAAAACTGAACATACCCTAAGCATTCTGGATCGTAGCCTGATTGAGGCTCCGGCATTCGTCACAGAGGTAGGTGGGTGGGTCCGAGAGCTGTTCGAGGGTGGCAGTTAAGGACTTGCCGGGAACTGAATCCTGATATTCGGGCTACTTCTTTGAACACGGATTGTTCAGGCGGCTCATCGCCGGCATCTCAATGAAAATGACCTTGTTCAAACCCATGGCAATCCATATGGGATTTGTGGTGGACAAAGTGGTAGTGCGGTATATTTCTTTCAGAGTACTTCGGTTTTCCCGTCAATTATCAGTCCATCCATGCCCCATATTGATCTTAAATTCGTAGGACGCAAGAATAGACCTATCTGTGACCCCAGAGCCGAGGAACAAAGTCTCGTCCCATTCCTACAACAAAAACAGTCTATTTGCTGCCATTGTTATTACTTATTGCTACTATACAGACTGCCTTATTGTGTATTTTGTTTGTTAGCTTTTTATATCCTTCTACGTACTCGTGCTAAGTTTGTAATTTGCCTCTCAGTTGTTAAGTTTGAGCGTATATAAACAATAACTGAATTTAATTGAATTATTATTATTATTACTTTTCTAAATATTTATACTTTACATTTCTCTGTACTCAGTAACAATTCAGATTTGTGTTAATGAAATTATTATTATTATCTTAGTAGTAGTAGTAGTAGTAGTAGTACTCGTCGTAATAGTAGTATTGTTAATATTTTGTTTGCTTTTTATTTGTTTACTTCACTGCATTAATGTGTCTTCTCCTCCCGTGCTTTCCTGTAATTTTTCTTTGAATTTGACTTTATGTCGTGTTTGTCCATGATGTAATTACTTGTATCTACACTGTGCTGTGTCTGTAATTGGCCTTGTAGCTGTTGACTCGGCACATAAATAATAAAGAATTGAATTATTATTATTATTATTATTATTATTATTATTATTATTAATCAATGACTGGCCATTGGCTTTTGAGCTCAGCAAGTAAATAAATAAGAAAGTGAACTGAATTACCACCGCCGCTCTCGATAGTTCTGTATGCTTCTGCTTTTGAATTGCATTCGCTCGCTCTTATGCAACTTAATTACAAAGATGTTCCTGTTTCATATTGTCTCAGAAATCTGACATAATATTCTGATTTTTAATGGGTGGACACCTATTAATTATTTCATTAATTGCTTACTTACTTACTTTCGCATGGATCTGAGCCCTTCTGGAGGAGCTGCCAATTCTGCAGCTACTCAAGGATTTCCCAGCATTTTATGGAAACCAAAAGTTCATTACCGTGTTCACAAGAGCCCTCCACTGGTCCCTATTCTGAGCAAGATCAATCCAATCAATACCATCCCATCCTATCTCTCTAAGATCCATTTTAATACTGTCCACACACCTATGCCTTGGTCTTCCCAGTGGTCTCTTTCCATCTGGATTTCCGACCAATATCCTATACGCATTCCTCGTCTCCCCTATTCATGCTACATTCCCTGCCCATCTCATCCTCCTTGATTAATTGCTAATGTTAATTATATAATAGATTCTGTATTACGCTCAGCTGTTGATGGCAGTTCACAGCAAAAGAGGAAGCAGCTCTCGCCGGCAGATCTCCTGTCCTTCGCGAGACAAATTGCAACGGGCATGGTAAGCAGCTGTTAACTGTAAGTACTGAAATATACTGTGGTGACTTGGCGAAAAAATTAACGAGGTTTATACCCTATTCGTGATAAATAAGCATATACATTCTCATCTAATGCATTATTTCGTTCAGCTGCAAAAAGTTTGGTAACAACAAACATTTACTGGCCTCCTAATTGATAGGCCGACTGTTCTACATGGACGGATGCCCATCAGTATCTTACTTTTTAAGATACTTATATGATACTTTTTTTCCTTGGCACTACAGCCCCAGTGGGCCTAGGCCTTCCTCCATGAGCTTCTCCGCTCACTTCGGTTTTTCTAGATCTTACATATTCAGTAGGATTCCTTGGGCGGGTGATCAGCTCGTCGCAAGGCTTCTACCTGTACAAAAACACAGAAAAAAAACACACACGCACACAAATTAAACATCCACGCCCTGAGTGGGATTCGAACCCACGATCCCGGTTTCCAAGCGAGCGAAGACAGTACATGCCTTAGACCGCTCGGCTACCGTGACTAGTTTTCTGAATAAACCAACTTAACAGGACAAAGCGAACAATCTACAACAGACATGGCAAACTACGGGCAATTGGGATTAATAAAACCGTCAAACCATTTCTCATAATTTCAAGTGCTGCGTAAAGTGTACAAGACGAGATCTCGCTTGTATATTAACTGATGCATATTTAAAATATGCAAAAAAAATCACACTCAGTTGTTACAACTTCTGCCTAACAGAACCCTTATAGCATCTATCCCCAGAATTGTTTTCTCATACCAAAACAATGAAATATCTGATTATAGTTTGTGTTTTATTTATAGCCCCATATACTTGTATAATTGCATATCTCTGTAAACCTAATTTTTTAGATCTTTCGTACTGTATTTTAATGTTTATAATGCTATTGCAAACCATTATTTTGCTGGAACAGCTAACAGACAAAATTCTAGAGAAAACCATTACTCCAGCTTAGATTACAATAAGGCACAGTCGGAATACGTGCCAGCAGTGTCAAACTGATCGATGAATAGGCTACAGAAAACGTCTATGTAAATAAAAAACGTATTTGCATTTAAAATAACAAATTCTGGGAAGAACATATGGCATCTACTTTCACTTCCATGGCTGCCTATAAAACAATTACTACGCAATTAATACTTCATTTGCTTGCGTAATTCACGGTAGTATAAATTCCCAGTACGTTACGATTGTCAAATTGAAACCCAGTGTCAAAACTTCGAACCGTCAATATATTTGTAACTGTTAACAAATAAAAGAGTGTCAAGCAGAAATGTGGGTGTCTCATCTATTCCATATATTTCACAAGCGCAGCTCCAAGGGTTCATTAATTCATCTCTCACACGTGGAGCTGAGCCCTTCTTGAGAAGCCGCCAATTCTGCAGCTACTCAAGAACTTCCCAGCATTTTATGGAACCAGAAGGTTCATTACCGTGTTCACAAGAGCCCTCCACCGGTCCCTATCCTGAGCTAGATCAATCTAATCCTTGCCATTCCATTCTATCTCTTATTCAGGCCGCCCCATAGCTCAAGCGGTTAGTCGCTGGCTTCCCATCGCGGTGGCCCGGGTTCGATCCCGGGTCTGGTGAAGTGGGATTTGTGGTGGACAACGTGGCGCTGGGGCAGGTTTTCTCCGAGTACTTCGGTTTCCCCTGCCAATCTTAATTCCACCAACTGCTCCACAATCACCCTCACCTATCATCTGGGGCTGGTACAATAGGCCAGAAGTGGCCGCAGTACAAGGGATTTAGTCCCACCCCACTAGCAATAAAAATATCTCTAATTTCCATTTTAATAATGTCCACTCACCTACGTCTTTGTCTTCCCAATGATCTGTTTCCTTCTGGTTTTCCCTCCAATATCCTATATGAATTTATCTACTCCACATTCGTGCTATATGCCCTGCCCATATCCTCCTTGACTTGATCATTCCAATCATACTCGGCGAAGAGTACAAGTTATGAAGCTCCTCATTATGCAGTTTTCTCCAACCTCCTGTCACTTCATCTCTCTTCGTTCCGAATATTCTTCTCAGCACCCTGTTCTCAAACACCCTCAGTCTGTGCTCCTCCCTCAATGTCAGAGACAAAGTTTCACAATCATACAGTACCACAGGCAAAATTAGAGTTTTGTACATGATAAACGTTTTATGTTTTTAGACAGGAGAGCAACGATTCATTAATTACTGCCGTCAAAGTGAAATCTAAACATAGACCTTGATTTTGTTACCCTTATCTTTTGTATCCTACAAGAGTACTTTAATATATTTTCTGGGATCTATTACAAAATGATATTTCATGGCTCCAGTCTTATACCAAAAGTCACTAATATTGCTCTGGTCTCGAAATTTCTCACGGCAACCAAATTTGTACTATAGAAGGCTTGAAATTAAAAAGCAAAATGGTCGGGCGGCCTCTAGCGATGTGATGCTCACACTGAGATTCATAAAAATCCATCAATGCGTTCCAAAGTCAGTGAGGGGAACGGCACATGTACATCACACCACAAAATTATTTGTAAAATATGAAGAGAATGTAACTATGTAAAATAAGATGTTGTGTATTAACATCTGCTAAATAATATGTCCATGCAACATATCATATATCATCTCTCTTTAACAGAAGATGCACCTGTACGTAACCTAACATGCATCACGGTAACATAATTACAGTAATTTCCCTGGAGACTGTCGCTTTCCCCTAATTTCTAACGTTTGCGTGTTTCATTGATGCAACGTATCAGACTTCATGAACTTGAAGTATTTCAGACGACGCTCCATATTAAAAATATTAAATATATAGCCTGTACAATATGCCTTACTCCCCTGACGCAATATTACCATAAGATGCAATAACCCAGTAACCTGTATTTAATTAAAATATATAGTAAACAATTATTTGATAAAATATGTAATAAATGTAAAGGCATGAACCATTAGTTTTTTTCTAATTACGTTAAAAATTAACCCAACCTATCTTTCACACTACAAACATAAATCCTGAAGATGGACGCAACATGTTCCTCCGAAATATTGGTAATCACCTAAAGATTGCACGGGATAACAATCCATAAAACTACAAAACCCTATGAAACCTGCCATGGACAATTAAACTGGTGTAAAATGTATAGAAACTGGCTTTAGAGCGCAGAACAAATCAATAGAATATGATAATATTTATTTCAATTTTGTTTCGATTAATAAGCACACACTAACTAGTTCTATCCTGCTGTTAACTAGGAGTACCTAGCAAGCAACCGCGTAGTGCATAGAGACCTGGCTGCAAGGAATGTTCTGGTATGTGCGGACAAAACCGTCAAGATTTCTGACTTCGGACTGAGCCGTGACATTTATGAAGAAAATATTTACCGTAAGGAAGGATCCGGGAGACTGCCAGTCAAATGGATGGCCCTGGAATCGCTCTTGCATCAAGTGTACACCACACAAAGTGACGTGTGAGTTACTTTCGGTGGACAGCCAAAAACGTTACTATTGTAGAGTTAGATCCAGAAAGCTAAATAAATAAGAGATCAGACGAATGAATCATGACTAGCCTTTAAGTCAATGTTTCTATGTGTACTATCAGCTTTAACATGTTGAAAATCTGTATTCCTCCCATAGAATATATCTGTGTGTTTCGTGGTTTCGCAGTAAACATTATTTCCCTAAACAGCTTTAATTTTCGGATTTTCATACAGGAGATGCATGTTTCCTAAGAGATACGGCCTGAATTCTTATATATGAGTATTGTGCATGTCTTTAAACAAATGCTGAATTGGTTCCTAAATTCCAAGTTGCTACTGCGTGATTCTCAAGCAGCTTTCCTGACTTCAATTCATAAAATTTCAGCCCCCTTCTGTCAAAACCACCAAATAATTTCAATATTAATTCAGAAAATCAAAATTTCGCAGTTCCTGTCTCAAGCCAATAATTCTCAATATCTTCACTTTCATGCTCAAGCATTAACGAAAGATATATTACGACAGATATAGAAGTATTTAGTACACATAAAAGAGTTCCTAATTTTTCGCTAAAAGAATATCTGAATATTTGATTGAATTACATGACAGCATTTGAAAAGTGAGCATAATAAAAAAAATGCTGATTAGTAAAATATTCTAAGAAATTCTAGAAAGTCAGGAATAAAATTAATATGGCACTCTACTATCCACTTGTGTACTAAAAACATTTACTGTCTTCAACTATTCGTATTATAGTTTATCTGGTACTGATACAGTGCATGCACCCACTCAGTAAACTAAATGTGTTTCTTTTACAGGTGGTCATTCGGAATATTGCTATGGGAAATTGTGACTCTTGGGGGTAACCCATACCCAGGCATCCCCACAAATAAATTGTTCAGTCTTCTGAGAGAAGGATACCGAATGGAATGTCCGGCCATTTGCAGTAATGAATTGTATGTAACAATACTTTTGTCATGTTTATAATTTTGTTTTTTTCTTTTAGCATATATTTTACAAAATCTTAAACAGTGCTCCAAATATTTATATGCAAAGAGACATAAAGGGCCAAAATTTCCCCAAAAGCAAATTATATACAAAATTATTAGGATATGATTTAGTGGCGGATGGCACGATTCACTGTGCCTTAAACAGAGAAAGAATTGGTAAAAACTGTGATATTACTTTCCATTCATTGGAGGTATGCTGCTGAAACAACAGCCAACACTTAAAAGCGCCCTCAATAATAATAATAATAATAATAATAATAATATGTGGGAGGCTCGACGTCTCACAACCCTATGGGCCTCCAGGGTCTGTTACAGGGATCGCTTCTCATTGCAAAATAATTACTTGTTTTTAGGTACAATATTATGTTGGCTTGCTGGAAAACGAAGCCCAAAGATCGGCCGACATTTGCGGAACTGCACAAAATGCTTGATGAGCTTCTGGAGATCTCATCTCCTCAAAAGTACTTGAACCTCAATCTATCCATTTACAAGAGTGAATTGAAGAACTTCCCAAAAAGCAAACAACACTCCAGGTGAGATAGGATGCCAATGGTGTCCCCTTCCTGAAAGCAATGTCACTGCTATAGAATGTGCATGTGGTTGCTGCAGCTACAAGTTCAAGGACATGCTTAGTTTTCTACTATGGCTCTACAGAGAACTGATCTAAATCAATGAAACGAATCGCCATGGTTACAAATTTAGCAGAAAACTTAATACATGTTACTGACTGTTGTAATTCGTGTCCTTTCGCTGCCTATTCAACCAAGTTCATATCGATTGAGCCCAACTAAGTAGGGTTTACATGAAGACGGAGACAGAATGCAGTCTCCGAAACGTTTGTGTTTTTAGATAAAGGTAGGATAATGGATAATGTCCAGAAATATATAATATTTGTACTAATGTATCGTCACAAAATTTTAGGTCGTAATATCTATGTTGCCAATCAGTTTGTTTTATATATATATCACATACATATGTATTTACAACTATGTTGTATCCCACTTCGCAGAGACTTTCCAAATATTCCGAATGTTATTAAATAATTACAGAAACTCAATGGTCATTACGCCGCCTTAGTTCTACATAGGTACCACCCACTTCTGGGTATCTTTTCTCATTTACCTCCGAAATATGAATATTTATTTAAATTATATTACTGAATCATCTCAAAGGTGAATTCTTATTAATTTTATTTACTTCCCCTTTCTACATATCCTCTCTGCCAGAGCCAATTTATATTTATAATATGCATTATATTCATATAATGGGAAGTACAAACTTACTGAACTGATGTGAGAAATCCGCAAGCTATTTGTCAAAAATTAATAAGTCTAGCAGATGGAATGTTATGGTGAAAATCGAATGTGATCAAGTAATGCAGGGACCAGACAAAATAGCTCCACTTGTCTAGCTCTATGTTACTACATCTATTACGTTACTTTTATTATGATTCTGATGTATGAAACAAATATTTCTCTTAACATTCCTTGAGACAAACATGAGCATAAAATTCTGCATAAATCTGCATGCAACTTTACTTATTAAAGCACGGTGATTGTTACATACGCCACATATTTTAAAATTAAAAAGAACATCATTTTTCTCACCCGGCGTTCCTTGATTCTGCATGACTCTCAGAACAAACACGAATTACTTCCTTACAAGATATTAACTTGTGGATTTCTGTAATGGAGATGTGTTTAATATAATTATGAACTGGACTTTTAAATAATATTTAAGTGAACTTCAGGTTTTACGGGGTTAACCTTGTTACACCAGATTGATTTCTTGCCAGAAATAACCATAATATTTACCTCGCGTATCTTGAACAAAATTCCCTACCATATATTTGAACAAATTTCGAAATAACTTCAACAGGCCATTAATTCCATTATTAAATTCTCACCGAATAAGTTTTATGCATAGAAGATGCGTATATACATTTCTTTTTCCTTGGCACTACAGCCCCAGTGGGCCTAGTCCTATCTCCATGAACTTCTTCGTTCACTTCGGTTTTTCTAGATCTTACATATTCGGTAGGACTTCTTGGGCGGGTGATCAGCTCGTCGCAAGGCCTCTACCTGTACACAAACACAGAAAAAACGCACACATACAAACTAAACATCAATGCCCTGAGTGGGATTCGAACCCACGATCCCGGTTTCCAAGCGAGCGAAGACAGTACATGCCTTAGACGGCTCGCGTATACATTAGTTATCATTAATATATGTCACTTGTAAAAGGAATTAACCAACATCTGGTAACAAACAATTTCTTTATTAAAACCGTCACAACACAACAATATTAAGGTCAGTGCCTAGTTTGGCTCTGCTACATCTTTCGGCTATTAAAAGCTATCATCAGCCAAATACATGGTTAATATATGTACACCACTGAACTGCAGTACTAATGAAATTGGATACAATAATATTAATTACATTAAAATACTTGGCATAAAAATACAATAAATTAGATTATATAAAACAAAAGTTATAGTACAAAACAAGAACAAAACAATAATATTACTACATCTACATCAAGAGCTTCCAAAACAGTTTATTATATACACACAAAATATAGAATACTCCAATTTGTCCGTGGGAACGCAACAAAATCACAAAACCAACGACTGACTCGATGATGTAAAGCATCACTCGAAGAATTTTATTCCTGTTTTATACTATAACTTTTGTTTTATATAATCTAATTTATTGTATTTTTATGCCAAGTACTTTAATATAATTAATGTTATTGTATCCAATTTTATTAGTACTGCAGTTCAGTGGTGTATATATATTAGCCATGTATTTGCCTGCTGATGGCTTTTAACAGCCGAAACATATAGCAGAGCCAAACTTGGCACTGTCCTTAATATTGTTGTGTTGTGACTTTTTTAATAAAGAAATAGTATATTATAACACAACAGGATGCATGAAATGAAAATTATAAAATCTGGTAACAAACACTATATCAAAATCTATTCCGATGTAGTGAATACCCTTATTTCTCCGAATTAATATCTTTTCAGTTGTATGTAGGGAGATGGTCTCTACATATTATTTCAAAATTTAATCCATTTGGGGGGGGGAGAAGTTTTCGAGAAAAGCGTCATTTGCAGTTTGGAGGCCCCTGTGTTGAGTTCATATGCTTGGAACTAGAATCCTTATACTAACCAGGCACCGACCTATAGTACTGTCACATGTATGAGTAATTAAATACATTTGGATTGGTAACTGGATTTATTGAATATTTACACAACGTAACTATTAGTAACTACAGCGCTATCGCTAATTCACACACTCTGTAATTCTCTACAGCAACTAATAATTCTTCTCAGTCTGCTGTATCTTCGTCAGTTGTCGCCTGTTAACGGCTTCCAATGCTGAAGCTTCCTCAGCTTCCGTGTTCACATTATTCCTGGACGGCGACTGTCTCACAACTCACTAAAATCAAAGTCAGAGTCAAAGTCGCATTGCAACTCACGGTCAGTCATTCAGTCTGTCTTGGTGTCGAGCCCCATCTTGGACGTCGGGACGTCTTCCAAGAACAACAGGCACAATAATCGATCGTAAACAATTTCGTTTATATACTGTACTTCACATAACCGAATCAAAATGTTATCAGTATTATCAGATTAGACACAATACACTGACACAACAGACTGCTCTCTCGTTTGTGACTTACACTCGTTTAACTCGTTATTGCTCGACAGTTCTATGCTACAGCAACATGAAATTGGGTAATGACAATGGTAAATCTCACGCTCATAAAATGGTTTTATGTATATAGAAGGTTTGACCGAAGATTCACGATTCCATTTTATTGCGAGTCAGAGACAGAATTACTTTACGACTGGCGGTTTACCGCCAATCAATTCTTTTTGGCGACAATCCCCTTGAGACTCACGATCAGAAATTTTATTCTCCATTTGGTTACTTTCGGTTATAGTCCTTATGTAACATTCTCTCTGACAAGAGGATGAGTCTGTCGTTTTACAATTGCTGCTGGTCCTCGTCAACACAATCATTCTCAAGTCCGAGTCCCGCGGTATTCATGGCAACATTTTACTGCCTCAGATTTGAGCCTCCCCAAGCTGGAAGGCCAGGTCCCTGTATTTATAACCCTCAGGAACAGGGTGACCCGGTTATAACCCCAGACACTGGGTTCCTTTTTCGTCACCTCCTACATCTTGCAAGGCTATTGTGGAGGTATTCGACCCCTCCTCCACACGGGGTACGATTCCATTGTATTCTGTCACATAGCTTACATAATATATGTACTAACAAAGAGTTTTTGGGGTAGTGGGCGGACACGTTACCTCAAACGAGAATCCAATGAGTGTGTCAGAAGACTGCATTCCAGCTCCACCATTAGACACAAAACATCATTACCTCAACATATCTCATGAAAGGTAATATGTTAAAACTACGTTTACTGCGGGCAAAGAAAGCTAGGAAACATGAGGTACTGAAAAACTTTCTTGTGAGTGGGATTGCAGAACGCTGTTTTCAAGCGTACTTCTAGCAAATTTAAATTCAATTCGAAATTTCTTCGTCGGCTTCTCTTCGCATGTGGCATCTGTTTAGTTCCGGCCACTTCTCTTCTACTGTAATATCGCACTTCAAACTGTTGCTTACTTTATCATACTCCAGCATTTAGATGGAGTCTTTAAAAATGTCAACAGTATTCATATTGCAGACTTATCACACAAGGTTAATCTCACATAGCAAATAACACAAGATTCCTAAAATATTAACATGTGCTTTTCTCGCAGTGCAGCCGAACCATCCATTTCCTGTAGTGGGAGGGAGAACACGGATGTTCGACAAATGGGTGAGACACGAATAAGCACGGAATTCTACGAAGGCCCCGATCCGCGGGCCCCTTAGCATCGAAACAGATTTACTGAGAAGGTATTATATCTATGAAACGCTATGAACAAGCAGAAGAACTTCCATTGAAAAGTGATCAAATTTTACGGCCCATAAGGCAAGGTCCTCCACGAACTTCTCGTAACCTAGGCAACTTCTCTGTGGATTTTGATATATCTTCTTATGTCACAGAAAACACAAACTACTTTTTGTACTGATACATCGATTCGTTAAATGTTGATGGGGCCTTGTCCCTCCGGCCCATGGCGAAAGACTGCCCCCGCGTGGGACTCGAGTGATATTTTTATTTTAATGTGCCCCCATACTTCCGAAATTATAATTATTTAAATGATTTAAGCCCGGGAAATTAAGAGCCGAACAAATGCAAGCTGCGAAAACTGGAAGACTGAATGATTAAAATTTGGGTAGGGGTTTTGTACTGCAGACATTCTGCTTCTTGTTTGATCATCAGTCATTATCATAAAACCGTAAGTTTTAAAACAATTTGTGAATTACCCAAATTCGTCCTGTAACCTCCTGATATTGACATACTTAAAAGAACGCAAATTAAATACGTACTACATACTGACTCCATGAAGTAGAGACCTTATTAAAAACTAATATAATTATTCAGCTAGAAATTTTCAGTCTTTTACAGGACCAAAAGATTCATTACTGTGTTCACAACTTGTTACTGTAGGACTTAAGTCCCTCACAGCGGGACTTCATAAGAGTTCTCTCTTGTGGAATATATCGCCACGTAGTCCTTTCAAAGTCAAGTTCCTCCGAAGCATTAGTTGATTTCTAAACAAATACGTGTATACTCGTACTGCGTTATTCTGCAGAGGACAGCACTCTTCAGCCTGCCATTGGTTTATATTCTGAGCAAGATATGTCCATTCCATATCCTCACACCTGCTAGGAGGTAACAGTGACTACAGTGTACATTTAATGAATTATTTTTAATGTCATAAATCCAAATTGTGCAATGTAACATTTAAAATTATATTCGAACAAATGAAATAAGCCCACCTATTTCCTGAGAACACATTTAAAGCGGGATTAAAGTCATACAAGCATCATCGAGTACACAGAGAAAAGAAAGTCTGTGCATTGTATTTCTTTTCTAATGATAAATTTGGCTTGGTTTAACTGAAACGAATATATAACCATTCCTGCATAATGTAACCCAATATAAATCCATATTTATACAACTTTCCACAAAGATAAATTTTCATAACCTGTAACTGTTATACAAAGAAATAAAATAGTGGAAATCTAATGATTTTGGTAGGAAGCAAAAGCAATAACGTGAATTATTTCGTAAACAAGAGCACTTATATACCTGTATTTTTTTTTTTTTTGGAACATACCGTTGAAGACTTTTAGGTTCCTGCTTCATGAAACCTTAAGTCAATAATATGTCACAAGAGAAGAAAGTGTAATTTTCACAAGTTCATTTTCATAAAATTACACTTCAAGGCTTGTAGAAAGTTTTCTTTCATTTACAAACAGCTCATATCTCTACAACCGTTTCAAATCATTCTTCGTTTGAATTTTACATTTGTCCAATCTAAAGTAATAGTATTAACACGTACAATAAGCAAGGCGGTAAATCGTTTTAGCTCACAATACATAACAAACTGCAACGTACATAAGCATAGGTCAACAAACTAATGCTGACCGACAAGAAAATGGGGCATTTTATTAAACGTGTATTACACGTACGGCTTTGCTCTTGTAATCGTGTATTAAAACGCCAGAATTTCCTTCTTCAAAATTCAATTAATAATATCAAATATTATATTACCTATGCTGCTAACATACTTATTTTGTAGTCACAAAATCTTCCTCTTCAAATTAAATTTTCCCTCAAAAACGTTATTTTTGCTATCATAGATATATTCGTAATCCCTAACTGTTGCTCATAATGCGATCCTCAGGCCAATTTTACATGCTTCTAAGAATTTGGAAATTAAACAATATGAAGTAGTTTATACCATGTAACTGAAAGCAGACTAATAACAAAGATTTGCAGGAAATGTAAGGTACAAGAGTAACATACGAGCATCAATAATCAGTTACTTATGAAATAGAATGCTACAAGTTAAAAATGAAACAAATTAAGGGTCAAAGTTCGGCAACGTGCCATCAGACAGATCAGAGTCTAGCCTTACAAAACAAATGTAACTGGTGGTACTCTGTCCAAGTAAGACCAATTAAGTAACACAGCTTCCAATTAACTTACGTTTACAGAATCCAGTTGATATAGTGGTGTGGAGTATTATTAAAACTGTCCTGTTTTCGCGACTGAATTTTTCTAAGAACCATTAGAACACTTTGTAAAAACTTAAAGAAAACAGTATCTTTTACTAATGTTAAACCAATAGCTTCACCCAGAAGATTCATAGATCCTCTTGTTAAGTAACTTCAGTATTAAATAGCCTAGAAAATTTGGGGACTAACGGAAACTTGCTGTACGGCTGGAGTACACCACTGTTTATAACATCGTCATTTGTATGTCTGGAGTCACTTAGAAAAATGTAAGGCTGTCCTTTTCCTCTTTCACGTCTGCTTAAGATTTGCATAGATTAAATTCAGTGATAAACTCTCGTTATTTTTTGTTCACTATGTCACTTTAAGTTCGTCTGTAACTTCAGACACTACGGATCACTACGGATCAACTACGCAGCAAGTTCTGGTTGAGATTAGTCAATTTCCCACTAGGTGGACGCTTTCATGCTCTTCATGCTTCAACTGAACGTACGTAGGACCGGTACAGACTATGTAAAGTGACGTCACACTATTTGTCCTAAGATCTGATCGAAGATTTTGGCAATATTTCACCCGAATGACCTCCATTTTCCACCTGCCTATTTCAACTGTATTTCCCCATTTTGTTTCCTTCTTTATTTGCCGACGTCATGCCAGTTTAAAGCTGTAGAAGATAATCTTGAACTTCAACGTATAATTTGTTTGTGATGTTATGCAGCAAACTAAATGCTATATAACAAAGGATAGCAGCTGGAGAGAGAAACAATTCGTTCTCTTTGGTGTACATTGGAGTATGTAAACCCCTTGCTATGCAACCACGGCCAAATATGCAACAATACAACAGCCGTTGCTAGGTAATGCTCTGTAAATAACGGTCGTTGCTAGGTAGTGGACGCAACAGATTCGTAACACGCACCAACGGATTAACTAGGAAGCGGTATTCTCTATACGGTCCGTGCGACAGCTACGTGACCCAACAATAGAAGAGCTGATGGGTGAGGTGTTTTCTATGCGGTCCGTGCCGAAGTGTTATAACCAGGACAAGTCTAGAGTTTAGTGAGTTTATCCCGTATGGAGGAGGAGTCGAGTACCTCCACCGTAGCCATGCGAGTCGTAGGAGGCCACGAAAAGGGAAGTCTCGAATCTGAGACAGTTAAATATGGTCACGAGTCCCTCTTTGGACGGTAGACCTAGATCTTATATATTCCGAAGTGTCAGCGAGGGTCAGCAGCAACTGCAAACGACAGACCGTCCTCTAGTCAGAGTGCCCCACATCAACAAACTGTCTGGCAGTAATAAAAATCTTGTCGTAAGCCCGAGATGGATGCTTTATTCCAAGACAGACAGGCCGACTGACCGTCGGTCGTAACATAAGCCTCAGACTCAATTTCAGTTTAGTGAGTTGTAAGAGAGTAGCCGGCCAGTAAGGACGTTAACACGGAAGCTGAGGAAGCTTCTGCTACCAAGTGACAACCGGTGAAGATACAGTAAACTGAAAAGATTTTGTGCGTGCTGTAGTGAATTGTAGGGAGGGTGAATTAGCGATAGCGCAATAGTTTCTTGTAGTTACGGTCTGTAAGTGTTCAATAAATCCAATTACCAATCAAAACTCCGTTTATAATCACTCATACACGTGACAATATTTGTAATGATTCACAGTAATATAGTTCAACTCTGTAACATGAATGTAGAAAGAATTGGAGAAAAACAGATCGAAAAAGAATGATCTTTGCGGCAGAACTTAAACTGAAAGAATTTTTCACTAAATTTGCTATTGTTAGTATTTATTAATCCCATCCAAGTTCAGCTTGAAATGAAGTGTAGTTAGGCCAAATTATGTTCAATAACTAACTAATACCTTGAATTCCTTGAGTGACTGAGGAACCATTACCTTCTCAAGGACTCAGTTCCATGCAGTTAGCTAACTAACGTTTCAAGTGTGCTGGTATTTGGCATTCATGGCTTAATGTCAACTCCAGTCATGTTGGTAAATATTACAGATCCTCATAGATATTGAGTTTTCGGACTTTATCCATCATACTGGTTTTTAAGATAACTAAGAAAAACACGACGTTTCGGAAACACATCCAGTTTCCGAAACGTCGTGTTTTTCTTAGTTATCTTAAAAACCAGGACGATGGATAGAGTCCGAAAACCCAATATCTCTGTGTGTTATACACCATCGTCAGAATCCTATAGTAACTACTTATTACAGATCCTCATGACAATGGTGGAACTTTATATAAGAAAAATAAACTGTAACAAAAGTAATAGTTCACATTTAACAAAAACAGAGGCCAACTTCCCTACCACCATCTAATTGAACTTCAGCATTATAAGAAACAGTAATAATAATTCACATTTAAGATAATCAGAGTTCAACCTCCCTACTATCATCAAACAGAAATTCGGAATTTTTCTGTATGGTATTTATGTTTTTGCCCAACAAATTAACATCAGTATAGACCTGAAGTTGAAATATCCCATTCAATTCTAATCCCTAGACAGCATGAACAAGTCAAACGTGTTCCAATATAATTATAAAATTAAAAATCACTGATCTTATACAAAAAAATAAGGTAGGCACTTTCTCCAAAACTCACCTAGAATCTAAAGAAAACTTCACAAAGTCAATAGAAAGTCCGTCGAGTGTAACAATTTTTTTAGGTCACTTCTTTATCACTTTTGCCTTACATGTTTCGGTTTAATAAAACCATCATCAGAGGCACATATTACAATCATAAAAACACTGTCGTTGTTTAAATGTACACAGTATATATGCTGCGTGGACGCTGCTACAATATGTCGATGTGTAAAAGCACAACACTTGTTAGGATTATTGAATGCACGTTCAACTCTCGCATTCCATCCGAAACTGCCCTCAAGTTAAAACGTCAATGTTAAAATATTTAAAAATTTAAAACATTTGAAGTAAAAATGTTAGGCTCCTTGTTAATTCATCCCGAAGATGGGAGATGTCAGCTTGAGGTTGTATGGGCTTATGGTTAGGTGTTTCCTATGCGTTGTGTGTTGTGTTTGAAACAATTCAAAATAAGGAAAACTTTTTATCTTTTTCAACTAAAATTGCCACATTAAAAAGTACCCAGTTATAATCACGTTCATATACATTTGTAATATAAACAAAGGAACTTTGATCATATTTGCTCGTAATACCATATTAATATAGCACCCTGACATCCATTTAGAACTTGCAAATAATACACTTACAGTATGGCAAGTAAAGAAAAAGTAAAGCTATCCCTGTACCATGCCATGAAGGCCCATAGGGTTGTGAGATGTTGAGGGTCCCACATTATCTAGACAATCGGCTCAAAGATAGCGGTAAGGTTGTCAGCCTTATGCGCCGGCTGTGCTTTACTCCCCAGGAAAATTACTTACAATATGGCAGAAATGAAAAAGTAGTACAGGATATTAACAGGTAAAATTATCCTTGTGCTTAATTAATTAAGCATGGGGATAACAGGGTTAACTATGGGGGAGTGGAAGTATGGCTTGACCTCAGCACTAGATGGAGGGGAATGGTCAGCTTCACATCAATGCTGTTTTACCCCTGAGGAAGCAGCTCCTGGCACCCATTTTATAGGTGGCTTGATGTTAAGAAGAAGAGAAAAATATCTTGCCCCTGCCAGTATTAGAACCCTGATTCCTGTCGGCCAGCCCATAGCCTAGTCGCTATACTGATTCCCAGGGCAGTGTACTGAGTATCGTTTATTAACTGGGTAAGGTATAATATTCTTCATTATTTTAAATTTTTAAATTTTAAATCAAAGTACCTTTGTAACAGAACGAGAGTGCCTCTTTAGCAAAGTCTGCACTGCTATTTCAGAAACTCTTTTCTGTTCATGGCGATTACTTACAGTTCAACAAGTTCTCAGGCTCACACACCAAATTTTTGTGACATTCAGAAGAAAATTCATGCAGTGAGACAAAATGAACAAAATCACATTCCTGTATTACCTAACTGTCTTTGGAATTTCCCATATGTACAATTGTAGTACATTATATGTAACTACTTAAACACACAAGCAAATTGTCATAAAACACATATACCACAGTCTAGCATAAAGATTGATACAGTGGTTACTATAAAATATAGGGAGGTTACATACTCATTGTCATCATGATCGTAATGCTTTTCTTATGGAGAAAATTATGGGGAAAAGAACTGACTTAGAGACCAGAGCCTGTGCACATAACAGTAAAATTAACTACTTTCCCAGGGTTGTCTCTCCGAGAGGAACATCTTTTATCTTTGCCATTGTTTCATACGGTGTGTCTTTTGGAAGAAAAGATAGGAGAAGACAGACAAATGGAATGTGGCTATTGTAAATACTGATATAAAAATTTAAGAAAAAATATGAATCCTCATAATTATGTAGTATGAAATTTACATTAAATATAAAATATAAAAGAATCCTACTATCCAACCTAGAGAGAGAGAGAGACTGACAGATAAACTTTGTTAACTGAAAATAAAACAATGTAATAGGAACTAAAAGGGTGTTGTGTTTTCCCTCTGTGCCTACTCATATTCAGATAAGTGGTACAGTTTCACTTGAGTAGCCTCCAAACTATAAGCAAACCCATAAAAGTGACTTGGAACTATACATTTTTATATGATACAGTGTACTGAGCTGGAGGGTCCATTTTTTTAATTTATGTCATTATTAGATAGTTATGAAAATGTGGCACAATTCAGATATTTGGGAACAACGATAACAGATCGAAACCTGATTCATGAGGAAATTAAGAGGAGATTGAACTCTGGTAATGCTTGCTACCATTCAGTCCAGAACCTTTTGTCTTCTCATGTGCTGTCCAGAAATATAAATATACAAAACTATAATTTTGCCTGTGGTCCTGTATGTGTGTGCAACTTGGTCTCTGACATTAAAGGAGGAACATAGACTGAGGGTGTTTGAGAACAGGGTGTTGAGGAAAATATTTGGACCGAAGAGAGATGAAGTGACAGGAGAATGGAGAAAACTGCATAATGAGGAGCTTCATAACTTGTACTTCTCCAAGTATAATTAGAATGATCAAGTCTAGGAGGATGAGGTGGGCGGGGCATGTAGTACGAATGGGGGAGACGAGGAATGCATACAGAATATTGGTGGGAAAGCCAGAAGGATAGAGACCACTGGGAAGATCAAGGCGTAGGTGGGTGGACAATATTAAAATGGATCTTAGAGAGATAGGATGGGATGGTATTGATTGGATTGATCTGGCTCAGGATAGGGACCAGTGGAGGACTCTTGTGAACACAGTAATGAACCTTCAGGTTCCATAAAATGCTGAGAAATTCTTGAGTAGCTGCAGAATTGGCGGCTCCTCCAGAAGGGCTCAGCTCCATGAGTAAGTAAGTATTAGATAGTTATACAGAGTGTTTCACGACTTTAGGGCATAAGTGCAGGAGGTGATTTCCTAGGTCTTCGTGATCAAAAAAGTTCATATAAACATGTGTCCGATTTTGGACGGTTACAGAGTTATGACCGTTTTAAACTCAGAATAGAAGGTAACGATTACTGACAATAAAAGGAACAAAAGAATAAATCAGCATAATACATGATGCATTTAAAGTATGAATGTAAGTTAACTTCGTGAAATTACCTTTAATTTGCATTGATTGGTGCTTAAAGCTGATTTTCGAAAATGCCACCCCCGGCCGCAACACAGGCTGCCACTCGGTTGTGAATCGTGCCAGATACCAACCCACCACGCCTTAGGTACCTCTCAAGCGTCGAGATAACGAGAACGCTCTGTCTGTAGCTGCTTAAAAAATAGCGACCTGCCAGATGACAGACGCAGTTCACACAAGGGCGTGTATGGGAATTAAAAAACGGTCATAACTCCATAACCATCCAAAATCGGACACATGTTTACATGAACTTTTTTGATCACAAAGACCTAGGAAATCACCTCCTGCAGTTACACCCTAAAGTCGTGAAACACCATGTATAGAATAGGAATAGTATCCCTTTATGTGCTATGACTTTAAAAACCTCATACAGGATTGACCTGTGAAAAAGTGCTACTTCATGTTACTTGTCACATTAACAATATTGATGCTCAAATATGACTTCTGAAGAAAGGGGGGCAAGGCTCAAAAAGAAAACAAAAATAAAGAAAATAAACATTTTGAATATTATATATTTTTGGAAATTTATGTAAGAATGAGCATATGTTGCTATGTTTTAGCTATTTGTGCTGTCAAATAACATAAAAAGTAAACCACAGAAAATTGTCATGTGGGAGTATGTATAGAATAACGGCTAGAAAATGAAACGTTATGTGCATTTGAACGAATGTATCACAGACTGTAATAAGCCACTAATAGCTTTCTGAAGGTTAAGGTACTTCTGTGTATGGAAACATTAAGCATGTTAGAAACAGTTTTGTGTCAATACTCATGTGAGATTCAGTTGTGGTGGTAGATAACTGTAAAGAAGTGGATAAATAAAACTTCATGAATCAATAAAAACAGTTACTGGTGTCTGCATGGAGAAGACCAATGGAATATAATCATATTACATCAGAAAGCTGATGTTCACTCTTGACATGTTGTTCATAGGGACACAGCAATTACATCTTAAATTAATTAACCCATTCACTGCTTGCATGATGTGCATGGCCCCCAACCTGCTGTACACTATGAAGGCATGTTCAAGCTTAACCTTTAAACACTGGACTTCTGAAATGGTGGTAAGCTTCAGCTGGCTGGAATTTATTTAAATGCCCGTTGCTACTCTGCATTTAAATGTCTGTTTCTGTTAGGGCGCTTAAACAATTTTAAGCATTGTGTTTAAAAATGCTTTATCTAACTCAATTTTTATGATAAATGGATGGAATTAACTTTGTTTGTATCAGCAAAGAACATAGTGTCAGGAAGATTTTAAAATTTTTATACAAAATGTTATACTCTACTTTCAATTTTTTTTTCTTTTAATTTTGATGCGTACTGAAAAAAAATGGTTTCCCAGTTCTTCACAGAGCTCTTCTGCATTATGAATTCATTTCTGTTTGTAACACTTGACAAATTTTAGCAGTCCCTGGTGTCATAAAACAGATGGCAGGAATAAAATCATTTGGTCTTCTGCTAGCACTGCTTACACTCTTTGGATTTTTGAATCTTTTGGCTAAAGGACAGAAGAATGAAAGAATGGCTATTCAAGAGAAAGTTAGAGGGGTCCCTTCTTCAATGCTAAGACCTTCCGTTATAGCTGCAAGAGAGTATTGCCCTTTCTAGGGTCATGAACAGACAGTTGCATCGTGGATGAGCTACAGAGTGTGATCTGTTTTCTGTGCATTCATAGTGAAATCGAATACTGTAGTTTCATTTCAGCCTATATATACATCAAGCAGATAACAACAAAGAAGGTGTGTACATCGAGTTTTACTATATATTTTTAGCACATTAATCTGCAGATTGCTTTGTATGGGGCTGAAACTTGGACACTTAGGGCAGTAGATCAGGAACACCTGGAAAGTTTCGAAATGTGGCGTTGGAGAAGGATGGAGAAGATCAGTTGGACCGATTATGTGAGAAATGAAGAAGTGTTATTTAGAGTCAGTGAGCAGAGGAATATCCTACATGAAATAAGAAAACAGAAGGCTAATTGGATTGGTCATATCTTACGCGGTAACTACCTTCTAAAAGAAGTTATTGAAGGAAAGATAGAGGGGCGGATATATGTGACCAGAAGACGAGGAAGAAGACGTAAGAAGATGCTGGATGACCTTGGGGACAGAAGAGGATATTTTCATTTGAAGGAGAAAGCTCTAGATCGCATCAAGTGGAGGAACTGTTTTGGAAGAGACTGTGGACCTGTCGTCTTGCTAGATTACTGATGAATGAATGAATCTGCAGAATCTGCAATAAAAGTTATGGCTCATGGATGAGTTTGGGCATAACTCACACGTATATTCTTTTTTGCTGTTGTTCACTTAGGTATCATTTTAATTCCTCTATTATGGTTTCACTCAAGTCTGTCTGGTAATTACTACATTTAAAAATAAATACTTAGGACTGTGCATGCGCTTCTACTAGCGGCATGCGCGCACGCTTCCACTAGCAGAGTTTAAATGCCCAACTGGGCAAAATGGGGTACTTTGGCCACGATGACCATACTCATCACAGACCCAATCGGGGCACTTCGGCCGTTAAAGGTTAATGGACTATATTACTTTAGCAGGACTCTCAGCTCACCTGAAGATGTGTGTATAATACTTAGTGTACAACATACCACAGGCTTCTGCCATGTTATCATTTGCATAACCATTTCCAAATTATGTAATTAAAATCAACTTGTCATCATGTTCTAGTAGCAATGTGTTTTTCCAATAAGTGTACACTGTAAGAACTCTTTTTACATAATTTGTGTACTATAAACATAACAGCAATATTATACAGACTGCACACAAATTATTTAAAAATATCTGTTAATGTCTTGTGTCTAATTTGCCTCCATTTCTACTCAACACATGACATTAATCTCTTCAGCACCTAGGCCAGCAGTGAATGTGTTTAGTTATTACACATGCAAGGATATGTCTGTATATAAATACAATTATCTGAGTGGATTTGGTTGAAATTATTTTGTAAGTGTAAGGCCTGTTGTAATGCTGTGATACAAAGGAGTTCAAATAAAGCTGATAATGTTTACAACTATTTTGTACCTTTTTACTATTTAAAGAGAAACATTTCTTACTTCTTTATACCTCTTGAATGACACTGTTCTTGAAATAAGATTGTTGGAATTGTAGTTCTACTGAAGACTTAGCTCATTTGGTACAGCAACAAGCTATGGGTAAAGACAGCCAAGGAACTGGGATCTGATGCCTGATAGGGCAAGAGATCTCCCTTCTCCCCAATGCCCAGACCATCACTGAGGCTCACCAAGCCTCCTATCCAGTGGGTATGATGTACTAGGGGCTGTTTGTCTTGGCCTAAAGAGGCAGGGGCATGAAGCTACCATGCACCTCCATCCAGTACCAAGATTAAGAATGGCATGGTGTGGTGCTTAATTAAGCACAGGGAAAACGTTACCTTTACCTTTTTTAACATATGTTCCTTAATTTAAAAAAAAACGTAGCAACAGCCCTGTAATTACTTGTAGTTCTGAGTGGTGTATACAAGTGATCAATAAATTCAATATTCAATCCATATCTCACCCATAGTCATCCTAAATCGTGACAGTATCACGCTACTTGAATCCTATCTCAACAAATGTCATAAATCCCCTTCATCAGTAATACCAACATTGAAGACTCAAATTTCTGAGACAAACCCTTAATATTGCTTGAATGTCTGTACCTATCTTCTTGAAAACTGGTATGTTCATATCCTGCCAACAGAAACCATTTCAATGGCATACATCATAAAACCCTCTCATCAGTAACACCAACATTATAGACCCTCCAACTGTTGAGGTAATACCCTAAATATTACTCAAACATCCCCACTTATCTTCATGAAACTAAGTATGCATATCATGTCACCTGACAACGGTGTACCTCACATATCGCACCGATCAGTAATACCAGCATTGCAGCCCCTCAAATTATATTGTTTTATTGACTTCATTATGCATACATAACAAGTTGTCATTCTACTTGTTCTTCCCAGAATTTCCTGTTATTTTTTAAAAGAGAGCAAGGGTGAAAGTCCAGTTGTGACTTTCTGACAGATCACCAACCCAGAAACTTGTTTATTGGAATGTGAAGGGCCTTCATGAAAATGTACTGCAGAAGTTTGTAATTAATACAAATACTGTTCTTCCATATGAAGTAACAAGGATTAGGTTGTCTGAATTGCCGCTTTGTATGTACATAGAATGAATTTGTAGATCAGACAGAAAAGAAAACATTAACTGCAACCAAACACAATGACATACCATTCTTTACTACAGACATAACAATTGGAATCTTGATACATATAGCTAAGTTCCTAATTAAATTCAGTCTTTAACACTGTATTCCGCTAACAACAATGGAGTTCATATATGAAGACAAAAGTGACCAAATCAGTTTCTTTCTGCTTACCATGATCCCAATAGAAGCGGCGTTTGTAAACAATCACTTAATTGGATAGAGGAATATGACCCACCAAAGTGGGCGGGAGAAGAATAAGGATTATGAACAAAGTATTAATTGTAAGTCTGATATTTATATTTTACAAAGAAATACCTTATAACACATTCAGAATCATATCTGTAGTTACATATTTACAATACAATGTACAGTAATACACAATACAAAGTCAATATTTGACAATATTAAATACAAATAAACAAACAATAAAGTCAGAATATTTTACCATGGTACTTTCAGGCACTGACGATTTTTTAAATATTTGCTGGGGACCAAAACAATTTATGAGCAAAACAAAATATTCCAGAGGACATGCATAACAGAATATTATTCTGCTTAAACTGGCAACTTAAAATTTTTGCTACAAAGTTTACAAAATTTTAGTTAGCAACATGATCTGAGAGGAGAATAAGTGGTCTCAGATAACAAATATAATATGCTTGCAATTCTACAAGTCAAAGTGAGGCACACCATGCATCCATGAAGTGGCAAAAAACGTAAACTATGACAAAATAAAATTATATGACCAGAACAGAACTAATTCCAGTGAATATTCTGACTTATGTAACCTCCTTTATTTGTGCACAACAAAATATTTAAATTACAGTCTTTTTGTTCACCTGCATGATCACTCTATATGTTCCTTGCTCCTTTACNCATGTAAAGTGATACAATACAATGATACAAGACAGTAAACAACCAAGCCATTCTCAAGTACGTATGAGACAGTACTATCCTATCAGTCTTAGTTCTACAAATGAGATATCTACATACCCACTGACTTTGCAAAAAGAAGGTATAGATATATCTACTTACGACCTCGTTGCAATATTGGCCAGTGCTGTAACATTAATGACGCTTCTCTAAATAATTCATTTTTAAGTATCAAGATGGAATCCTACCTCCTTTTCTCAGGTTCCACACAAAAAGAAAATATCTGTAGAATGTGAAAAAAAAAATTCTGGAGAAGTTTATTTCCTTCACTTTTAAGTAATGCTGCTAATTTACAATAAACATTTTAAATGGTACAGTTCATTTAGTAACTCAAACTGTGGTCTTCCAGGTTGTAACACAGATACCGGCATTTCAGAGCTACATGCTGCCTCCACTTCTGGAGTCAATCATGAAGCGAACAAGATTACACAGCTTCACAACCCACAAAGACCACAATCAGAATATCACTAAGCAAACTTCAGAACTTATGTACATTCATCTGTGCACAGAATATTATACAGGTACCTTCATTATAGAGAAATATATTATTAAACAACATATAAGAAATAAATTAACATTTAACATTCTACAAAACTGCGAAAATCATGTGTTGGATTAACAAGCCATATAGGAAGTAAAAGTAAGTAAAGGTATCCCTGTAACAAGTCATGGAGGCCCCACAGGGTTCCGAAATGTTGACATTCCAACATTTTCTCTATTGTAAAGAAGTGCCAATAAATCCAATCATCCAATCCAAAACCCGTTATATTAATCATGGAACCCCAGACACACGTCAACAAATACCTGTTTCTTCTCATTAATTTCACAGGCTGGAGAATATATCACAGTCTACATCATATACAAACAGAGGGGCTAAGGTACAATATTTTATACACTAACACACAAATTACCTCCACTCACCAGAGACTGAGATTCGCCATGTAACTGGCTATTAGGTATGTTACTTGTCACTGAGAACGGTGATGTTGGAGACAAAGGCACGGTCTCAGGAGACACTGTAGCAGCAGGACTTTGTAAACCCACAGGCTTTGGAGCTACCATGAACACCTTATACACATGATGAGCAGGGTTGGTTGGAGACTGTGTGGCTATAACAACCAGTGAACCTGGCTCCACATTTGTAAGATCTTCCAATGGTAGTACCTTGCTTTCAGTACCAGGTTTTGATATATTCTCTGAACCAACCAAATTGCTAGACTTTCTTTTTCTTTTCTTTCCCAATGTAATATAATCTTCTGTTTCACTGTGTTTTCTTTGTTGAGGGATGCGGCCAGATCTTGTAGGTTTTGGGGATTTGGACAAATACTTCAACTCTGCTGTATCATCACTTGCTTCATTACTGTTATCAGATTTTATACTTCTATTAAGTGGATAATTTTCCGTGCGAAACTTGAGATCTTTCTTGTAATAGTACTCAAGTTCATTTTCATCATCTGATGATGATGATAATGAAGAGCAGCTTCCTCCTCCAGTTTTATGTGGCTGTTCTGCGCTTACATTTCCTTCATCATCTCTTCTCTTATCTCCCTGTTTCTTTTTCTCAGGCAGGTCTCCTGTGTCTCCAGGATCCATTGAACGACAAACAAAACCTGAAATTATAGAAGGTCATGTTTCATTATTCATTAAATTCACTAGTAACTCTTAAACACTTGGCCACGCCATAGCTCAAGCGGTTAGTCGCTGGCTTCCCACCACGGCGGCCCGGGTTCAATCCCAGGTCTGGTCAAGTGGGATATGTGGTGGACAAAGTGGCGCTGGGGTACTTCGATTTCCCCTGCCAATCTTCATTCCAGCAAATTCTCCATCATCATAATCACCTGGGGCAGGCTACAATAGGTCAATCAGTGGCCGCCATGCCAAGTGGACCCAGTTGGACTCCACCCCCCACTAAGCGAATTAACTCTAAACACCATCAGCAACAATCACTGACATACATACCTTTCCGGGCTTTCATGTTTTTTTTTTTACTTGGAATATTGTTCTGTTTTATCTGGCGAGGTGGTTTTCGATAGGCCAATCAGTGGCCGCCATGCCAAGTGGACCCAGTTGGACTCCACCCCCCACTAAGCGAATTAACTCTAAACACCATCAGCAACAATCACTGACATACATACCTTTCCGGGCTTTCATGTTTTTTTTTTTACTTGGAATATTGTTCTGTTTTATCTGGCGAGGTGGTTTTCGATAGGCCAATCAGTGGCCGCCATGCCAAGTGGACCCAGTTGGACTCCACCCCCCACTAAGCGAATTAACTCTAAACACCATCAGCAACAATCACTGACATACATACCTTTCCGGGCTTTCATGTTTTTTTTTTTACTTGGAATATTGTTCTGTTTTATCTGGCGAGGTGGTTTTCGATAGGCCAATCAGTGGCCGCCATGCCAAGTGGACCCAGTTGGACTCCACCCCCCACTTAGCGAATTAACTCTAAACACCATCAGCAACAATCACTGACATACATACCTTTCCGGGCTTTCATGTTTTTTTTACTTGGAATATTGTTCTGTTTTATCTGGCGAGGTGGTTTTCGATTAAGTTCTTTTGCTAGTTTTGCCTGTCTCTCTTCCTCCTCTTCTTTTTCTACAAAAAAAAAAATGGATGGGATGAACAAGAGATGAAATTCTCCCTCACAGTCATTAATGACAACCAGAGGATTACAGTTTGGGCTTCCTTCCACAAAGCTCCTATTTAGAAGAGTCTTCTTTGCATAAAGCTGTTACTGTCTCCTGGGATATAACACCGTACAGACAGTACCAACATTTTGGACAAACCTGCTGCCACCATCTTCATGGTAGAAGGGTACTCTGTTATCCTAAAGACAGAGGCAACAGGTTGAGAGAACTTAACATCTCACTGTTAAAGACTAATGAAGCAACACTTTCAACAATGCAGAGATGCAAATTATGAACATTTTAAACTACTAAAACTTTAAAATATATTTAATGACATTGAGCTTATATATGTATAGTACTGTGTTAAATTAACTGAATAAAGTGTGTATGTATTTTTATTTTGTATATTCTGTATCAAAACCCAAATGCAAAATTAATTAAACTGTCACTTCCATATCATTTATATGGCATGCAATTGGTCTCCAAAAAAAAAAATGCAATATTAAAAACAGAATAATGAAATACAATTTTGCTTACCTAGATCTTTCTCTAGTTCTGTGAGATCAAAGTCCAGTGGATAACGAAGTGCTTTCTCAACCAAGAATCTATTGGTGCGATCTTCCTTCTTGAATTTTATTTTCAAATCCCGTCTTGTTCGTTTTGGGAAAATGGACTGCATTAGAAGAAAATCTGTGCCTACTCTATTAAGAGCTCTATAAAACTTCAGGGTTTCTGCAAACATGAGACAAAAATAATTCTCTATTAAACAAGGCTAGTTTAGTGTAGAACCATCAGGCACTTTAAGGCCACATTAAGATACCACTTTAAATTATTTCATAGACTAAACGTAAAGCTGTCACCACTGACAACTGCATCCCCTCAATAAGCTAGATGAAGCTTATTTTCAACACTTCAGAAAAATATCAGGTGTGGAACAAAGTGTTATGCATCAAACCCTGTCTGCCAGTTACATAATAAGTAACAAAGTCCATTAACGTTATTACAACATAATATAACCTGTTACACTTAAAAACAGATTTGCCCGGGTTATTTTCCGGACACTAGGAATCATGCCCACATGTACCAGCTATTAAACAAAATTCCTGTTCTCTATAACAACTTCTCTTCTGAGGTTCTGTGTGAATAAAACTTTGCAGCAGGACAAAATCCATGTGTCTGAACTTCAGCTCAGAATTCTTGGCAAAAATTTAAAAACTGTATCAAGGTGTATGTTTAACATCCTCATACAGTGTGCGCAGTAGATTCATCCTTACAACATCAACATAATCTATTGTGTGTGCTTTCCTTCTAATCTACAATTCAAACACTGCTGTCCGGTTTAAAGAACATTCTGCAAAAACCTCACGAAACATTTCAAGGGTTCTGGTACTGGATTTACAGAGCTTCATGCAAAACTTGATGCAGGCATCTTGCTCAATTTTGCCATCCATCGCAGACAAAACGAAACACAAAGTCAACAAAGTGCTCATGCAAAAACATTGCGTCCTGACAGCACAGTGTCAGGTGGCAGACTGATGCAATAGGCTTTCGGAAGTGTGACCTTGGCCTCCCCTCTCATCTTCTTTCGCCGAGGCAGTTACATTAACAACAGTCGGGGGGAACTTCCCAACAGCATCTCATATGAGAGCTGAGAGCATCAGGAATAGGAAAGAAAATTTTTAGTGTTGTCTGCAGGCACTTTTCTTTAACTCACTTCCAAAGTGCTACACTTACGAAATCACAACACTGTAACTATAAAAAAAACTTGGTCTTGTCAGTCACAGCGAGTGCACATAACTGAAATGCATTAGATTAGTAAAATAATAAAAATACTGACCAGACAGTCATGTATATTATGAGGTGCAGTACAAATTTGAGCTCTGCATATCACAAACCTTGCTTAGACCATTCCTTGAATTTCTTGCCCTTCTTGCTGTAAGTACCGTAGCCTGTAGATCCTGTGCCATAATCCACTATCAAAGCAGAATTAGCAAGGTCTTCTCTGCTCTTTTTTGTGCCTGTTGTCTCTATCACCTAGAAAGAAGTTCTAAGTAGCAGATCATGAATACTGACATCCTGGGTAGATGAGCAATTATATGAAAATCATGTACAGTCAACTCTCGATTATCCGGGCTAATGGTGGGGATGGAAGTCACGGTTAATCGAAAACCCGGTTAAGCCAAATTTTATTATACGGGCTGGACGACTGTGAAGGGTCGGAGTTCGAGTCCCGGTAGGGTCAAGAATTTTAACTTCTCCAAATCGTCCAGACCGGCTCTGGGGTCCATCCAACCTCCTATCCAATGGGTACCGGGGGCTCTTTCCCCGGGGGTAAAGCGGCCGGGGCGTGAAGCTGACCACTCACCTCCAACTAGTGCCGAGGTCAAGAAAATTTGGATCTATACATCCACTCCCCCACACGCCTTAATGGCGTAGGGCTTAATTCGTTGAGCAGAGGAACAACTTTACCTTTTACCTTTTAATACCTTCATAATACTATAGACCTACCTGTATTTAAATTTATTCATCCTCATTTCTATGTCATCTCATGGCCTATTTAATACTTTCTTTACATTACACTCAGTATGAATTAGTTATTTCAATCACTGTTCAACAACATCCAGCACTTT